TGTATTTAGGAGGTCTCTGATGAGCCATGACCTCGGCTGTCTTTCAGGATGTGGTATCCATGGCGACAGGAGAGCAATGCCTGTTCACTTTTCATCCCGGCGTTCAACTGGGCAAACAGGAAGTCTCTTCTTCTTCACTGGAAACACAAACACACTCCTGAGGGAGGGGGGGTCATCAGGACACTTATTACTGTCTGATCATACTCATGTTAACAGTTTTCAGTTTGGGAGGGGCTCCTCTGTTTTGCTCTAATCAATCAGCAGTGACTAATGATCACTTGAAGATTCACCGTCTGAGTCTGTCTCCACTTTTTACCATGGACACAAATATACGAAGTCCGCCCAACGACAACATAAAAGTTCCTCCGATTGGTTGTTCACAGTGACGGGTGAAAAAAACATTTTTTAAAGATCATTTTGTTTTAAAACATTTAAAAACATTATTTATATTTTACTTTCTTAATTTTTTAGATTTGGCAGGTTGGGAACAGACTCACACCTGCTCCAGGTGCTCAGCCTCTGGGTCGCGGTTCTGCTCTCGTGGAGTTTCATGTTTGTTTGTTGTAAAGTTCATGTAGGAAATATTTTCCATTATCAACAGTGTGTTGTGCAGTTTGTTGGTTCCTTCCTCATATGTTTTTAGTTACTACTTACTACTGCACCGACCTGCTCACTACTCACTAAAACTACACTGATCAGCTGTTTTGTCTTTCCTGAGTCTTTTTAAACTACATGTCTGTGAGGCGTTTAAAGACCCGGAGCTCAGAGCTTCTGTCTGGTCCTTGAACTCGTCATGAACAGTCTGTCACTGAGCTGCTGTGATCTGCTGCTGAGTGATTGATCGCTGTGCTCCGAGCTCGGAGGCTTCGCCGCTCCGCTCACCCTGCTGACACCCTCACCTCTCTGTGTGTGTTGTGTCGGGGGGGGGGGGGGGGGGTGATGTATTCCTTCCTGTCCTTACAACATCTTCAGTGAGAGTTCAACACCTGTGAAGAGACCCCCCCCCCCCCCATGAATGTGCGTTACAGTGAAACTGTCCCGTAGGAAACAAGCAGCAGTGACATGTTGTTGTTGGGCGTCACCTCGTGGCGGCTGTAGTCAGACAGGAGCGAAGGAGGAAGTCAGGAGACGTGGTCGATAGCGGCGTTTGATCCCTGTGTGAAACCTGTAGTTTATGGTGTTTCTTTTACCCATGACAGTTTGACCATCTTAACCACATCACCATGACAACAAAGGTCCTCTAATCCTTAGGAAGTACTTATTCTAAACACAGACTGTAAACAAAGATGGACGTCGCCCACAGGTTTCTGAGGCATCTTGGCAGTGTCTGACTCCGCCCCTAACTCCCAGTTAATCCAAATATGTTCAAAGAGGAGGGGCCTGTGTGGAGCAGGGGTAAAGGCTGGTTTGTGGTGAGCATTCGCTCACCCACCTGTCACTCAAAGAGGCCACGCCCTCAATTCTCCATAACTTTAACTGGTCCTCCTCCTGTTGGACCTGGTCCTCCTTCAGACCCTGGTCCTCCTGGTCCTCCTGGTCCTCCTGGTCCTCCTGGTCCTCCTGGTCCTCCTCCTGGTCCTCCTTCAGACCCTGGTCCTCCTGGTCCTCCTGGTCCTCCTGGTCCTCCTCCTGGTCCTCCTTCAGACCCTGGTCCTCCTGGTCCTCCTGGTCCTCCTCCTGGTCCTCCTGCTGGTCCTCCTCCTGGTCCTCCTCCTGGTCCTCCTCCTGGTCCTCCTCCTGGTCCTCCTGGTTCCCAGCCTTGAAACATCTGGGCTTTAATCAGGGCGTCACACTTCACACAGACTTTACTGTTGTTGCATAGCAACAGAGAGCCGGCGCTCCCGGCTTGGGAAGAGCTTAACCAGAGAGAAAGAGAGAGGCACCCCCCCCCCCCCCCCCCTCCCTCCAGTGCAGATCACAGTGAGGAGTGAATGAAATGAATTCGTAGCTGCAGATTATAAATTCAGGCTGGAGATTTGATTTCCCAGGAGCCTTTTGGTTTCAACAAAGAATCAAAGCCGCTGACGGACTCTGAGCCGCCGCCTCAGATCTGTGACCCTCAGTGTGGGAGGGGCTCAAGTCCCAAAGGTTCAGGTGTATCATGTGATTGATGATGTTTCTGCTCTTCAGGTCAGATTCTAGTTTCAGACTGAACTCTTATTATCTGTTGTAACGTCGGACTGAAACCAACAGTCTTCATCATCATCATCATCATCATCATCATCATCATCATCATCATCATCATCATCATCATCATCAGTAGTTTAGTGCTGTGTTCTCTCAGACTCTGCTTCAGGTGGAATTACAGAACATGTGACGTATGAAACAAAGTGAAAGAGGAAGAAGTTCTCAACTCGAAACAACATGTTAATCAGATATAAAATAAACATCTGTACAGATGTTTCCTGATGACACATCTGCAGGTGCAGGAGAAACATCAGCCTTTGTTTGTCGCGGTGTTGAACAACTTCAAATTCACTTCCCTCATTAATGATCTTTTTCTTGATTAATCGATTATTTTGTTTATTGTTTACTCTACGAAACGTAAACAGTGAAAACATCCATTTAAACTTATTATATTTCATTTCACATCACAGACCTGGGCTGAAGTTCAGACCTTCAGAAACCTTCGGCTCTCAGTCATTAATATGATCTTTATAAATTATAAATGAAATAGTTGTTCTGAAGAAATGTGATTTAAAACATCATGGAGGTCAATCATCCTCAGTGTTTCCTCTTTGACAGGTGAGGTCATGAAACAGGTGGAGCATCTTTAGACTTGAGTTCTTTGAGTTCGTAGTTTTGGGTTGAAAAGCAGTTGTTGGTTGATTTTATTTAATCACAGTTTTATTAAGAGTTTGTGCGGCGCTGGTTTCAGTAGCTATGTGGGTAAAAACACCTGAATCTGCCAGGAGCTGACAACGCCATGTTCCTGGCAGGTGCTCGTCAGTATATGAATGTTGATGTTAAACCATTGTACCAATGAATGGGATTTATGTTTCACCCCCATCTATTGAATATTTGTCACTGCTGCCTTTGTTTCTGTAATGCCTCCTTCTCAGTTTTCCTTTGTAAAGATGTCTGACTGACGTGTTTCACCTGCGTCTCCTCAGGAAGGTGTTGAAGCAGATTCCTCTGGGCGACCTTCGACCTGACGAGACGGTGCGGGCGACGCAGGAAGCCCAGCTGCTGTCTCAGCTGCACCACCCGGCCATCCTCACCTTCTACCACAGCTTCCTGGAGAGAGACGCCTTCTGCATCATCACCGAGTACTGCCAGGTAACACGCCACGACACACCCGGGCTTCACCTGCAGCTCAGGCTCGGTTAGATCTGAGGTGTCCGGCTCTCACTGTGTTGTGTGTCGAGCATCAGCATGAATCCAAATGTCAGAACTTCTCTGCGCTCACTCACTCGACGGTCGATTCCCCAGGAAGTCTGTTATAGATTTTCACAATAAATCTGACAGGAAAATGAACTGATAAGAACCGGAGTGCTGCTGCAGTGGAGCCTGAGACTCTTCATCATCATCATCATCATCTCAACAATTAGCCAGAGACAAAGCTGCTGCTGACGAGGTTTTCCTGATGAAACGATGCCTGACTCACAAGCAAATGATTCAGTTGCATCAAATTTACCCTCGAAATAATTTCTAGATCATCATGAAAACGACTCACTGTGATTAACCTGCGACACAGGTGGAGCGGCTCTACATGTTGGTAATATCAGCTGATGTGTGGACTAATGACACAACAGCTTGTCTCTGGTTGTTGTGTAACAGGAGCTGATGGTCACGTCGCTCCGCTCCTGAGTTCAAGTGTTGAAGAGTCAGAAATCACAGATCTGAAGAAACGACTTTTTCTTCCTGTTTGGAAACAGCTGCTTCGTCTCATCGCTGCACTTTTGTTCTTTTCATTTGTTTATTTGTCTCTGACTTCAGATGAGAGAGAGCGGGAGCAGAGCTGGGTAGAGCTGAGATGTTGGAGTGAAGTTCGACTTTTATCTGAAAGATAAAAGCTGAAAGTCTGAACTCAGTTCTTCACTATCGTAAGAGCGACTGTGTTACAAGGAATTCTGGGTAAATTCAAATTTTAAAAAAATGACCCTCAGCACTGATTCTCCATTACAATAATTAAATGTAAATGAACCAGTTCTAAATGGGATTATTTGTCCTTTCACAATTAAAACAGGCGAGGCGGAGCAGCGACGATGCGACGAGCTCAGCGCACGCACACACACACACACACACACACACACACACACACAAACACACACACACACACACACTAGGACAGAGAAAATGAAGCAACAATATGAAACTGAATCCCCCCCCTCATTATATTCCTCTCTTCTTCTCTGTCGTCTTGATTGCAGCAGGTACTTCCTGTCTCCAGCCTCCCCACTAATGAACCTCACACTTCCTTCATGTTCCCCTCTCCCTCCCACACTCGCTGTATTCTCCTCCAACACGTCATCTGGTGGACCCCCCCCCCCCTCGTTCCCCCTCCCCCACACACACACACACACACACACACACTCCAACATCTTCAGTGAGAGGCTGAAGCTTTAAGTCCTCCTCCTCGTCTGCAGATTTTTACAAACCTCTAAACATTTTTCTGCTGGTAATGGAGGCACACACACACACACACACACACACACACACACACACACACTCACACAGACACCAGTTTATAAACCAGTATGAACACACACACATACACACACACACACACACACACACACACACACACACACAGACACCAGTATAAACGCAGTATAAACACACACACAGACTGATCTCCAGAGACAGACCTTCTTCTCATATATAATTATTGTTCATATCCTGCTCTGGGAGCTTCGTCAATCTAGCTGTTGTGCAGAGGGAGGTTTACAGGAGTGAGTCCCTCCTGTTAAAACCGTTGGTCCTCCCCAATAATATAAACCGACAACCAGCTGCATCTTTACCAGCTCCATCAGGTGTCTTTACTGGCTGCATCGGTGTCTTTACTGGCTCCATCATTTGCTTTACCAGCTCCATCAGTGTCTTTACTGGCTGCATCGTGTCATTGGTGCAGCGCCGGCCCAGTGGATCAGTCCAAGGCTGAATTTCTTTCCCAGTCCGACCGTGGAGAAAATGTGACATGATTGTTTTTCATTAGTGACGGCTACAGTAGACATGTCT